CTCCGCTCGGGGCGACGCGGGCGGCGACAAAACCCTACCCGCCAAGCCTCCTTCCCCTCCCCTTTCCCTCCTCGCCGCCGCCAGAGGGGTCGCCGACTTAGTCTGCGCGGCGTCCAAGGAAGGTGGCGGCGAGGCCGTGCTGCTCCGTCTCCGCGCAGAGGGCTCTCGTAGCCGAGGCGGCAGCCTCGGATGGTGCGGCGGCGCTGTCTCTGCGGCGAGCGGTGTTCGCTGGTGCTCCTCCTCCACCCTTGGCCGCGCGGGCGGCGAGTGGTGGAGGCGCGAGGCGAGGGTCACGGCGGGTGGCCTGGCGCCCCTGGCTACGCATCAGATCTGGAGGTCTCTTCCTCCCCCTTCCTATGCCTTTTCCCCTCTGGATCTGGGTCGTGGCGGCCGCCGGTCGCCGGATCCGTTGAAGGTGGGGATGCCGGAGATTGCGTGCTCGGACCGGGAGAAATCTTTGGCCGGTAGCTCCGGTCACGACGGTGGCGACGCCTGCTGGCGACGTTCCCCTCCTCGGAGGCGCCGTCGAGGTTCGTCTCCATCTCCCTCCCCTCTCATACCCGGGTGAAAACCTCAGCCAGCTCTGGTCTGGGCGGCAGCAGTGCGGCTTGCATCGTCACCTTCCTGAAGGTGTCGTCTTGGGCGAGTTGGGGGTGTGCATTGGCACTTGGATGCGATTCTCCGGCGTGCAGCGACATTGCAGTTGCCGATTTCGCTGGGATTCGCAAGATTAGCTCACTGTGGCTGTCCGTAGGTTCACTTGTGGGTTGCCATGGTTGGGGGAGGGGATAGGGTTCCTCTCCCCTGTGTGCAGCTGCACAGCGTGGGCGCTTCAGACATGGATTATAATTTTCTTGAGCTCCAATCTCGTATAAGCTCCAGTTGTTTGTCAACTCTGCGTTTGTTTCTTTGGTGCCCTCGTCCTTAAACAGCTTCATTTCTTCGTGTATGGACCATCGAGCTGCGGTGAGGTCCTTCTCCTGGTGATCTTGCACAGTGGGTTGGGCATGCTGAGTATCTCCCAAGGTGCCACGACATCTCTACCATTCTTTGCTCTAGGGTGAGCTGCTTCAATTTGCGACAGTCCATTGCCCTTCGATCCAGGGCGAGGGGCAGGGGTCCCCTTCGGAATTGAAGGAGGGTTTGATCATGGTGGTCTCCTTTCGGAGTAGATGAGGGCATGTTCATCTTCCCTGGGCGCGATTCCTCTTGAAGCTCGCTTGCTGTCATGCTTTGGTGCTTCATTCGCGTCGAAGGGCTCCATCAACATTTAGCTAGTCCTCTTGTAGATCTCTTGTGTTGTCTGTTGTGGTGCCTGTAAGATGTTTTTGTAGCACCTTGTATCTGCCGTTTTCAGTTTCTTTGTTTCTCTTTTTCGCTGTATGGGGCCGATGTAATTCCTGGCCGGTTGATGGCTTCGTTAATTCAAAGCCGGGCTCTTCTTGAGCCTTCGTTCAAAAAAAAAGGATAAGATCGTGATCACAGCAGAACTGTACCGCCACCAATAGAATTTACAAGTGAACAAACTATTGGGGAAAGTAGTAATTTCAAAAAAATTCCTACGAACACGCAAGATCATGGTGATGGCATAGCAACGAGAGGGGAGAGTATTGTCCACGTACCCTCGTAGACCGTAAGCGGAAGCGTTATGACAACGCGGTTGATGTAGTCGTACATCTTCACGATCCGACCGATCCAAGCACCGAACGTATGGCACCTCCGAGTTCAGCACACGTTCAGCTCGATGACGATCCTCGGACTCCGATCCAGCAAAGTGTTGGGGATGAGTTCCGTCAGCACGACGGCGTGGTGACGATGATGATGCTCTACCGGCGTAGGGCTTCGCCTAAACTCCGGGACGATATGACCGAGGTGGAATATGGTGGAGGGGGCATCGCACACGGCGAAGGAACGATCCGTAGATCAACTTGTGTGTCATGGGGTGCCCCCCTGCCCCCTATATAAAGGAGCAAGGGGGGAGGAGGCCGGCCCTAGGAGGGGGCGCGCCAAGTGTGGAGTCCTACTAGGACTCCCTAGTCCTAGTAGGATTCCACCTCCCTTGTTGGAGTAGGAGAAGGGGAAAGAGGGGGAGAGGAAGAAGGAAAGGGGGGCTGCGCCCCTTGTCCAATTCGGACCAGAGGGGGGGGCGCAGGCCTCCTTCCTTTTGGCCTATCTCCTCTATTCCCGTATGGCCCAATAAGGCCCATATACTCCCCGGCGAATTCCCGTAACTCTCCGGTACTCCAAAAAATACCCGAATCACTCGGAACCTTTCCGAACTCCGAATATAGTCGTCCAATATATCGATCTTTACGTCTCGACCATTTCGAGACTCCTCGTCATGTCCCCGATCTAATACGGGACTCCGAACTCCTTCGGTACATCAAAACTCATAAACTCATAATAAAACTGTCATCGAAACCTTAAGCGTGCGGACCCTACGGGTTCAAGAACTATGTAGACATGACCTAGAACTATTCTCGGTCAATAACCAATAGCGGAACCTGGATGCCCATATTGGCTCCTACATATTCTACGAAGATCTTTATCGGTCAAACTGCATAACAACATACGTTGTTCCCTTTGTCATCGGTATGTTACTTGCCCGAGATTCGATCGTCGGTATCCAATACCTAGTTCAATCTCGTTACCGGCAAGTCTCTTTACTCGTTACGTAATGCATCATTCCATAACTAACTCATTAGTCACATTGCTTGCAAGGCTTATAGTGATGTGCATTACCGAGAGGGCCCAGAGATACCTCTCCGACAATCGGAGTGACAAAACCTAATCTCGAAATACGCCAACCCAACATGTACCTTTGGAGACACCTGTAGTACTCCTTTATAATCACCCAGTTACGTTGTGACGTTTGGTAGCACCCAAAATGTTCCTCCGGTAAACGGGAGTTGCATAATCTCATAGTTACAGGAACATGTATAAGTCATGAAGAAAGCAATAGCAATATACTAAACGATCAAGTGCTAGGCTAACGGAATGGGTCATGTCAATCACATCATTCTCCTAATGATGTGATCCCGTTAATCAAATGACAACACATGTTATGGTTAGGAAACATAACCATCTTTGATTAATGAGCTAGTCAAGTAGAGGCATACTAGTGACGTTATGTTGGTCTATGTATTCACACATGTATCATGTTTCCGGTTAATACAATTCTAGCATGAATAATAAACATTTATCATGAAATAAGGAAATAAATAATAACGTTATTATTGCCTCTAGGACATAGTTCCTTCACAGACATCAGGTTTGCAATCAATTCAACAGCATCATTGGAAGATGAAGTTTCATGTAATGTGGAAGCATCTGTATCCCGGTACGGCAGAATTAGAGCAAAACAACAGGTAGCAACTCAAGAAGCCTTGAGATGTTCATTATGCAGGCACTTCCTCTTGAGCTCACTCATGTCTCCTCTTTTTATGCCATCAGTGCGTGCCCCCAGGAACATAAGAAGAATTCAACCGACCAGCTGGGCGGCGGCGCCCATGTCTTCGATGTCTCTCAGATAGGTGATCTGTTATTGATGAGGCATGATTACGTTAACCTCTGAAGTTTGTCGTTCAGTGATGTATTTCACCTTGGGTGATGGCCATAGTGCACTGAGGATATCATGAAAATAACCATAGATTTGGCAATGTTTTTCTGTACTGTTGAAATGCACCCGGCGGTTTTTGTGGACCATTTGATATCTTAGAATTTGAATAGCTTTGGGGCCAGGCCTACAAAGATTGAACATGTTCTTTTTTCTCTCAACGACAGTCTGAAACTGTCAATTCGGAAGGAAACTTAAAGTTGCAGGTCACAATACACATCATCATCATAACAATGCTAATGAAGTGAGATTATCAATGCCAGGTGGAGAGCAGTGTCTTGTCTTTCGACCCGCGAATTTAGAATTTTATTAATCCAGGATTCGAACAGTCTTCCACAGGAAGAGGGCAAAGCTAGACACTGAACTTGAGGTTCAGAGATACTACTAGTAGCAGACAGTAACGTGCTACGGTACAGAAAAAGTTGGGCATTGAAGATGAAAGATCATGAGAACACTAGGGAGTGCGTCAAAACCTTACTGGAATCCAAATCGCAACAAAAACCAGTGGTGGTGACATGAGCTGCCACAGCAGGCCCGAGACCTCTTTGAGCAGCGTCAAGGGCGATGACTTGCTTTTGTATGCGTCGAGTTCTGATCCGATAACAAATTTATGACAAGACGCAGCGGTGCTCGACTAGGAGAAGGTTCCATAAGAAACATAATTCCAAATTTCGAATAGTATTCCTGATTTGTTCAGCCCGACAGAAAAAAAAGCACTCAAACATTCAAACGCGACCCCAAAGATAGACTAACAGAAGTATCAGTTCATGGAAATCGAACACACAAGTCGACCATCGACTTAAAACTGAAACAATAACAAGCAAGATCAAGAGGACCATCTTGTATCACAATACACATAAGAAGTAAAAAAAAGTAACACGGGTATTATTAGCAACTCGACCAGAACTAAAGCTAATAACACAAATATTCAAGAAGGTCAGAGGATAATCTTTATTCATAAATGTCCACTGCATTCAATCTTTATTCAGCGGACTCAGCAACCCATCACGGCCAAGTTATAAACGAAGCTCTTGGATGACCGTTTAGCAACCAAATTCCACACAGGCGGTTGCTGATCTGGGATCCATGAATGAATCTCAATCGTGCCACCAGTATAAGTTCTAGGACCTCCAATGACAATCAGCCGGTCACCACAGGCTCTGAAAGCAATGCCCCAAGAATCGTTTGACACGCATTGTTCAGGCAATTTTCCAAGAGTGATCCACCTATTATTAAGCTTGTCATATCTCTTCACATCCTTGTCACTGTAATCAGCTGCATAAAGCTGATTGTTGACAGCGGCAATGAGTGGAGGAGCACCGGCCATTCCATCGAGGCCCTCGGACTTGTTGTCGATGACCCTCCAAGACCGCCGCTCCAAGTCATATTCCTCACCACATGCCAACACCTTGTTGTTGTTGGTAACACCACCAATCACATAGAACTTCCCGTCCATGAATGTGCCAGAACACAACATCCTAGCCTTATTCATGCAAGGAAGGGGTGTCCAAGTATGTGTCTCCGAGTTATACATCTCCGCGGAGCTAAGTATTCTTCCACAAGAATCGCTGCCCCCCGCAACATATGCCTTTTCACCGACACTTGTCGATCCGAAAAGGCACCGCGGCGAGTTCATCGGATCAGCCCTTGTCCATGAATTGGTTAGGATGCTATATCTGTACACAATGTGTGCCATCCCAAACACCAACAGCTCGGTTCCGACAGCAAGGGACTCCTTGTCAGAGCACATGAAGCATTCGTCTGGTGGTATCTTGGGCACTTGGATCCAGCGCCCACGGTGTGGGTCGTAAGCATCCCACTGCAGAGGGTTGCAGGAGAAGTAGAGCCAGTACTCCGCTACGCCATTGTTGCGACGCAAGCGGTAGATCTCCCCACTGCGGACCAGCGAATTGAAGTCGTGGTTCAAGCATGCCACAGAGCCATAGTCTGACCTGGACAGCCGTAGGAGGCATTTGATGAAAAGGCTACGGCCTATCCCACTAATGATATCGCTCCAGGAGACGACGTGCTGCTGCTCTCCATCAACCCAGTCGCCGAGACGATGACCAGAAGGCTCATGGGTTTCCATGGGTGCCCGCGGCTTCAACGCGTGCCTCCTCCTGCTCTGCCCTCACTATCTGACAAGAGTCAAGAGTTAATAGTTTTGCAAATCGGTAAAATTTCTCTTTTTTAAAGAGTATTTCTACAATATGTGTTCTCCAAAATTCATAGAATTTTAGCATGTGACACAATTCAACCTCTTTGGCATATTGACACGACAACCATTATTAGAGCATGAATGAAGAGTTGAAAAATCAGGTTAAACTGAAGAATCCAAGTCCAATTAAATTAAAGATGGGCATGTAGATTTCCTACTAGTTTGGTTTAACAATGAACATGGTAGTAGTACTAACCGGATTGGCTTGGCCTGAATTCGCCCAGAAGATCACAAGTTGAGTTCTGTCCGTCTTTGGAATCCGCCTGGTCCAGCCGCCTGCCAATAACACGCAATTTCTCTCTAACCTAGATGGAGCTGCTAGACATGGCTGCTGCTAAGCAGTGGAGCAGTCGCAGAACTTGTACTGGACTAGAAGAGTTGAAGAGCGTGGAGAGAGTAGTGAGGGATGAGTAGGATGAGTGATAGTGGAGGGTGGTTCCTTTTAACAGTGCGCGCACTGCTAGCTTACTTTGCTTTACTTTCTTTTTCCTTCTCTTTTTTGCTTCCACTTTTGCTTTGCACTGATAGTGGAGGGCTGTTTTGGAATGCATTCTGAACGCAATCACATTAACGCTATTGTTTGAAGGCCAAATAATCGTTGAATCAGATTTTTCAAAGGTTATTGAAGCGTGTGCAGGTATGACTACATGGTGAAGGAGGAGCTGGTGCACGTTGCTCAATGAAGAGAACAACCTTGGCCATGGAAGTCGGCAGAATCTGCCATGCTTGATAAGGGTCAGCTCCAGCACAACAATGTTGGAGGCATATGCATACTGATTTGAGGATGGCTGAGTTGCCTGTCTCACACGGCACAGAAATGTTGTACTACCTTCCAAACATTCGATGGATACGTAGACCAAACCAGGGAGCAGAATGAGTGGTGTCGCTCTTGTTGATTAACCCAGAGAGTGGAAACTAAAAATAGTAATGTGGACTTTGAAGCATCCAAGACTACAATAATACTCCCCCTGTCTCATAATATACTCCTTTCATTTTTATATACAAGGCCACAAACTCAAATTACAGGTACTACCAAGATAAAATTAATGTATGCTTTACAAGCCAATTTGTTTTCTCGTTTACCGGGTTAATTAATAGGGTGCATACACATTAGAGGAAATTGAATGGCCATGAGAAAGGAAGTAGGTGAGTGTGTCATTATCATCCACTACATGCATGCTAGTAATTAAGCCATGAGCTACTAGTACGAGGAAACATCATTAATATTTGTCTCGATTACTGTTAGTGGCTTTGTATAGATGCAAAATGTGTTTTTCATAGTGACCTTGTATACAAAAATGAAAGGAGTGTAATGTTTTACTAGTTTGTAAAAGCCGACCCTTGGTCAAGTATATGATGCGGTTGCACAAGACTATGAATCATTCAAGATTAAAATAATGTCTGTAAAAATTTTTGCAGTAGGTCAGTATGTATCATGCGGATATATGCAAGCCTTCCCGATTTTTTGCTCCCGGAGAAGCACGACCTGTGCTAGTTGTGCGCCTGTGCAGTGGAGAAGTAACCCAATTTTTTCATAGTTTATTGATTTCATAGATAGGCTTACCACTTGGTAATTTTACTAAGTACTCTAGCTACTTTATTACTCAGAATCAAATATAATGGCATGTCGGAAATTACGTAAGTGTCTTCATGAGAGGCTGAATGATACAGCGCCACGATGTTTTTTCGCGCACAACGACTATGAAGTCGTGAACACAACCACGCCACCTTTGTCCATATGTTAACGAAATACATGTCAAAGAATAGAATAATTGATCAACTTTGGCCATGCAAGTCTAGACCGTATGCAGACCGTATCGGAGTCTGCAGAACCTTCCATGCGTGCCTGACGGAGAGTATGCATGCATGAGAGTTACGGCCAGCTCCAGCTAGCGGTGAAGTCATTGGTGTTGGAGCAATGTGCATACCGATCTGTGGATGGCTGTGTTGCACCTCTCAGACGGCAATGCTGTACGTAAATTATTCAAACACTTTGGTTTGCTGGCATAACCAAAATATCTGACAGCAACTAAAAGCTAGATTAAATTTCTGCAGATGTACAAAACACACATAAAGCTACAGAGGCTGTTGCCAAGCGCTTAGCATGACGGAGACGATTTAACGGGAAAATGGTCAAAACTGAGAAACGCCAAAAATTAAGGGTAAACCAGATTAGTGGGACTGAACTAAGGGCAGAAATGTACAAGTTCCTAACAACAAAATGATGGCGGCAATTCAAATTGCCCAACAAAGAGTGTACACCCCCACCCAGATTTGTGCTTTGAGCTTTGGGGTTAACACCCAGCTAAGCAATTACTAAACATATTCGTGACGCTCGTTGGTGGAGGTAAATTAAAATCAACGTGAACAGTCAATACTGCAACTTCAGGGACCGGGGAGATGTTACTGAAGATACAAGCTATCACTGACGGCATGCGATGGAAGACCCAAATCATTGACCATGAATTCGGGCGATTCAACCCTGGGAATATCCTCGTGACTGTCAATATTTACTGGACTGCAGAGCCCGCTCAAAAGCAATAGTTGTTGCCTCCCCCGTTGTTCTACGCCATCTGCTGCAAAATTTTGAACAGCTATATTTTCGTCCTTTTTTGTCCAGTCGTCATCGCCGATTCTCTCTTAGCTTCAGGATATATCTGTTTATAGTACTCTCTCCGATCCAAAAAAAGTGTTGTGGCTTTACACTTTTTTTTTTGGGATCAGAGGAGTCGGTAATATGAACTATGTGATGGGTTGGAACTTGCAAGCTGCATTGCGTGGTAGTATGCAATGGTGTATACGATGGTATTCAGGTAGTAGTTTGTAGAGGGTATTTACTGACAGCTGAACTAGTTTGAAGGAAGTGCAGAAACAAACAATCTTCTGCCTGCAGACCAAACAATCTTTGGAGCAAGGCCCAGAAGCCAAATACGAAACATCTTTTTAAAAACTGACAGACGTACAGGCTGCCAAAAGAAAGGTGCTGAAGCAAATATGAACAATCTTCCACTGAATGATTCTTTCATTTTTTTGGCAGAAAATTCAGACTAAAAGAGGAGGCCCCAGGAGAATATATGATAAACCAAGCTGAATGTGCTGGTTTCCAAACTATTTCTTCTTCATAATCCAAACAATCTTCAACAGGAAAGAGAATAAGACTCAACTTGGTCTTGGGAAGTGACTTAACTTACAGTTCATCGTCTGAATGAAACCTACTAGAGTAAATTCAAGTCAAGGATCTGCCGAAATGACAGGAAGCCAGCATCACGAAGAAGAATATATCTGTACTACTATGTACTATGATGGCAGCACCACAAAATTATCCAATCAAACTCTTCGGTTCCATCCCTAATAACCATATATTTAACAAAGCATTCCTGACGTTATTGTTACGCAATCTCGGGTCCGCTAGCACCAGTGTTTCCGACCCACATGCGTCAACCAGGCCCAACCGGAGAGCAACACCGACTTATGACAGGCCTTGGGCCCTCTCCCCCCAAAAGACTAGCCTGTTAGGAGGGGACACCCCGCCCTTATAAATCGTGTTCTGCCTCCTCCCACAACCGATGTGGGACTAAACCCAACAGTTATAACATTTCTTGTTTCATCAAACACACACGAATAAAGCGCAGTTTATACATGGTTCATCAATCACACACATGGCACACCACGCAAAGTTTACAAATCTTGGTTGATGTACGGTCAGGCACAAACAACAATTTAATTACAAACCACCCAGAATAAATTTAGTTGCAGGAACATTAAGTAAATCTAGTGTCATGAGTGCTTTGGTGCTTATATGGTACTCCATGTTTCTGTGGATCCCCTGAAAATAGAAGAGCCATAGCAGAGCAGCAACCAATTCGTCCGAGCACACGCGGGTGTCTGTCTGGACTCTGGTTCTGGTACAGAGGGGTCGAGAGAGAAAGAGATGCCGGAGAAGCGGCGACCAATGGTCCTAGAGCTTGAGTGGAGAAAGTCGCTGATTGATTTGTAAGTGCTAGGGTTCCTGGAACTGTCGATTCAGCGTCGTATCTATATATCATACAATCTAGTGTGCGTTGTCCTTGTTAAAAGAAACAGAGGATGGATAACATCCGCCATTAGCGTGAGGAGGAGGGAGCATCTCCATCCGTCTATCACGTGGTCGGAATATTGTGTGTCAGGCCTGATGCCTGAAACGGACCTGAAGCTACAGCCAAATATTCAGAGTCGAGGAAACAAAACAAAAACAGAGGAAGCTATCGAGAGGCAAGTAGTATTACTTCGAGTTTATTTAAGAAAACAGAGCAAAAGCAGAGGAAGCTATCCTATTGACAGGTAAGCACAATTGCAGTATGTATCAATACAACTATGTCCAGCCACTGCCTTCACGGCTCCGTCGAGAATTCCTGGCAAAGCTGAAGTCGCTAGAGCATCGAGTTTGCAATCCAGGCCCTGGGCAAAAGAGACAGAGAGAATGAATTAAAAGCACCAGCAGCAGCACCAGCAGGCTCTGAGGACGCGCCACTAGGGTTCTACAGTATTGCAAGGGGACACCGATGGCTGTTGTATAATTTACTCCTTTGCCCAGGAAATTCAGAATAGTACCTTCTCGTTTTCTGGAAATTCAGAATTGCACACCTCTTCAGAATAGTGACTGAACACCAACGCGCCTCCACAAGTGGGCACCGATGTCTGCTATACAGTTTACCCCTTGGCTCAAGGTTTAAAATGCAGAAAGTGTATCTTTCTCCTTCTTTGGAAGTTCAGAAGAGTGTAATTCTCCAACTTGCGTAGTGTACACCAAGATCAGCAGCGACTCCTATCAGCTATCTTTTGGAATGAAATTACCTGATTCGCAGCCACCTTTTGATTTCGTTTTTGGAGGG